TGCAACACACATTTTCCTCTTGGACTGGTACTGTGTGCACCTCTCCTTGACAGATAACCCACAGCTCTGGCATCTCCTACATCTTGGGGTCTCCAGTTCAAACCAGACTTCACTTCTACAGGTGTGACCTCTCGGGAACTCCAGGCAGGGATGCCCCTGCCACACATGTGGCCTCAGCAGATCTCTGAAACCATGGGTGAAGATTCCACAACCCCTTTTCCCATGTGTCCTTTGTGATACTAAAGCCAGCACTGTGCAGATGACACAGCCAAGTTTGGTGCCATCTTGGGATGGTCCCTGGCCCCTTGAGTCACGTTTGCAGCTGTTTGTTGTTCCATTTTCAGACCAGAAAAAGTTGGAAGGTTAACTGGCTGGGGTCTTGCCTGAGGGAGCCCTTCTCTGTATTTCACCACAGATCAGGCCTCCCCTTAATCTCTTTATCTCTTTACAAACCTCAGCCGCAACAGTGTTGGTTGTCAAATTAACTACATCTGGACTCAACTAAACTCCAGGCCGCTAGGCACATCTGTGGGGTATTTTCTTAATTAGGTTATTTGAACCAGAAATACCCACCCTAAATCTGGGCCATACCTTCTGGTGTGTGGTGTTTTGAATGAGAATGGCCCCCATAGGCTCACAGGTTTGAATGCTTGGTCATCAGGGAATGGCATTTTCAAAGGGATTAGAAGGTGTGGTCTTCTTGGAGGAAGTGTGCCACTGTGGGTGGGCTTTGAGGTTTGAAGAGTCTATGCCGGGCTCAGAGTCTCTCTCTTCCCACTGCTTGTGGATCTGGATATAGAACTCTCAGCTACCATGTCTACCTGCATACTCCCATGCTTCCCACCATGAGGATAATGAACTAAATCTCTTAACTGTAAGCCAGCCCCAATTAAATATTTTCCGTTATAAGAATTGCTGTGGTCATGGTGTCTCTTCACAGCAATAGAACAGTGACTAAGACATGGTGGCAGCCCATAGAAAGGGACATGGATGGATATAACTTTGTCTTTTTATCTTCTTGCCCTCACTCTCTCTGGAAAGTTCATCCATTTTGTTTCTGAGGCTTTCCTTTGCTGGTATAAGTACCAAATTATTCAGGATTCCTACATAGACTGAAAGTCAAGAGCTCTTGGGAATTCTCTAGGACAGAGAGAGAGAGAGAGAGAGAGAGAGAGAGAGAGAGAGAGAGAGAGAGAGAGAGAGAGAAATTGCTGAAACATCACGCCTTGTGAACCCAGCAAGTACAGGATTCTTAGTCTTTGCTTCGAGACAGCCATTGTTGGACTAGCTGGACCATCTTCTGTCTACTATGTCTAATTTATTAGACAGACCAATGCCTAATAAATTCCCCTTTACTACATGTATTCATTCTATCACTTCTCTTCCTTTAGAGAGCCTGACTAATATAACTTTTGAACTACTTTTATCCCAAGAGTCTATGGCTAAATCTTAACAAGCTTCCAAAAAAAAGTTCCTTTAGTAAAATAGATGACCTTATATTCATCCATTTCAAGTTATATTCAAGCAAAAAAAAGTTTTTTTTTTTTTTTTTTTTTTTTTTTTTTTTTTTTTTTTTTTTAGTAAAATGTGTCCCTGAAGCTGTGAGGTGGCTCAGTAAACAAGGCTCTTGCTGTGTATATATGAGGAGGACAGAAGTTACACTCCATGTAATGCTGGATGCTGTAGTGCACACCTGTAATTCCCATCATGCCTAAGGCAAAAAGTTGGAGGCAGACACTGGAGAATTCAAAAAACTTGTGAGCCAGCACTGTTGTGTGCAGTAATGGACAAAGGATCCTCTCTGAAACTCTGAAAAAGGTGAGAATACCAGCACTCAAGACAGGCCTCTGAGTTCCACGGGTGCTGCATGCCAGCACTCACAGACACTCACACATCCACACATCTATACACACTACAGACATCATACCTGCACATATAAAATAGTAAATTAAAGCAAGTAAATAGAACATATTCCCTGAGTTTCCGTGAATAGCCCAATTTGGAAATTTTTGAACATAAAATATTAGTGGCATGTCCTCCAAAGAGCACCACTTGGCTGTGATACACTTTTGTTTTCCATAAACAATTTATCTTTTGGGATTTTTCTATCTTGAAACATTTATCTACTTTTATAATTGTAGAAGTCTTAGTTACATGTTATGCTTTATAGTTTTACATCATCTTGACACAAGCTGTAGTCATCTGAGAGGTGGGAACCTCAACTGAGAAAAAGCCTCCATAAGTTTGAGCTGTAGGCAAGCCTGAGGAGATTAATGGGGAAGGACCCAGCCTATGGTGGGTGATACCATCCCCGGGCTGGTGATTCTGGGTGCTATAAGCAGGCTGAGCAAGTCATGATGAGCAAGCCAGTAAGCAGCAGCCAGCCTCCTGCCTCTAGGTACCGGCCCTGTTTGAGTTTCTGTCCTGACTTCCTTCAATGATGAACAGTGCCGTGCAAGTGTAAGCCAAATAAACCCTTTCCTCCCCAGTTACTTTGGTTATGGTGCTTCATCATAGCAATATTAACCCTGACTAAGACATATGTTTTTAGGTTGGTTGATGAATTATTGTATTAATTTGCAGTAGACTATTAAATCATACTTGTAAGAAATACAAAGGAAAAATGTGAAGCAGTTAATGAAAAATCTATGTGAAAGGATGAACGGCGCTGGTGGCGGCGCTGGTTACCTGTGGAAAAGTCCCAAGCCACGGCCATGACTACCAGAGTTACAGAGAGCTTTATTAGAAGGAGGGAGGGGATAGGAGAGAGGCGAGCCAGGCCTGGAGAGAGAGAGAGCGTTGGCAGGAGCAGGGCAGAGAGCAGACAGAGAGGGTGGGGGTCCACGTCTGGCTTTTTAAGGTACATATGTAAGTCACCAGTGTCCCTTGATGACGTAAGACACAAGACCCCAAGCTGCGCATATACAGGAGAGAGGGCAGGATCCTAACACCACGCTCTTGTGAAACATTATTAAGGCAAAATTAGTCAAATTCACCATGAGATTAAAGAATCTTCAAGGCTGTTGTGTTTTACCATCTTACATAAAGTTGTCATCACCAGTCTTAGCTATATCATTTAATATTAATTTCCTTATTTACTCTTGATAGTCTAGATTTGAATTTTAACAAATAAAGAGTTATTGGTGCTTAAGTTTATAGACACAGTATGTTTAACAGTGAAATATTCAGATTTTATTGCATAAATTGCAATTTTTTAAGTACTGTAAGTAAATGTTGACATCAGAAAGTACCCATGAAGGGCTCTGAACAATCTTTCTATAGGTGAATTTCTTGCCAGAATATCACAATGTAATTGGATATACCAAATCTCTACTGTCAGAATTTACATTACAGCTAAGAAAAAAAATAATGGAACAATCAGTAGTAGTTGTCACAGGTGTGGATGAGGCTGTAGAAGGCACATGCTGAAGTTTTCAGGTTCTTGTCTCTCTTTACAATGACCTGTAGAGACATGTGGATAATTACAGGAGATGGGGATGGGTTAAGAGGGACAACAGAGAGGACTGGAGGTGTGCCATGCCTCCCCTGTGGCCTGGCAGGGGGAGAGGGGCCTACAGGAGGTCTGCAGTGATCTTACGTTATTAATATAGACTTGGTTCTTCCAGACTCTTACAACCAGAGCTTTTCAGAGCATTCTCCTTTGGCTGCATGAAGCAGAGGTAGTGCTCTTGACAAAGGAGCCCAGCACCCCCAGGGACAGACAGTAAAGGAATTTGTGATGGTGTCAGGAGTGGGCAAAGTAAACTAACAGGGGATAAATAGATCAGGCTTCTAAAGCCAGATGGAAGAGTTTAGGTTCCACACTGGAAGCAGCAGTTGAGAAGCAGAGCAAAGGAACTGTATGAAGAAAGCTAATTAAGTCTTGTTCTGGTACAGATACATAACCAACTGGCAAGAACAGGGAGACATGTAAAGCCCGTTGATTATCACGGAAGAATGGAGAACAGGCACATTCAGAGATCACAGGACCTATTCTCATTGTAGCTGCAAAAATACACCTTAAGTTAATGAGTTCTTCCAAGGGATGAAGTACCTTTGGTTCAAACTACAGACATCCCAGGCATGCCTTGCAAGTACAAAACTCTGCATATTCTTTATTTCATGCCATTCTGAGTAAGTGATTAAGAAACAGCATTTCCCCACAAACACAGAAGCAGACCTCATTAGGTAGCTCCATAATAAAGACCTGGCAATCCTCTAAACTGAGCAGAGTGGCAATATAAACACAAATAGGACAATATCAAAAAGAAGGTGATTATATACAAAATGATACCCACACAGGAGGCTAAATACACATTACTGATGGTTTTTAAGTTATTTATTGGAAAGCATAGGTTTTTTTTTTTGACCTAATTATTTTGCCATACAAGACCAAAACTCAAGCAATATAAATATTTAACATTTTGGTATAAAATTAACAGCTGAAAGAAAAAAGGATGCAACCCAATCAAGAAGTAAGAAACTTTTAGCAGTAATACTGTGTATAGGCATTTTTTACTCAAGTGACCATTTGGGCCAACAGTTTGTTTTCCTTTTCTATTTTATTTTTCATTTTGAAAAAAGCCCTACATTTCAGCACCAAGATTTTTCTTTCCTTTTTAAAAGGTTAGAATAGTTCTGTTTACAAACACTTTTCAGGCCTTCGGGTCTGATGGTGGAATCACCTAAGAACTCCGAAAGTCACGAAGTACCTTCATATTTCCTTTGACTTCAAACCAGTTCCATTCTATTCTAAGCAAAAATAAAGGAGCAGAACACAGTTCAAGAGAGCTCAGTCATCAAATGGAAAAATGCTTCATAAAGCGCTGGATGTAAACAAGACCACCTCTGTGGCCACAGAGAGATGCTTTCCAGCCGGTGGCAACTTTTATCAGTTCAAAGTTGCGAGGAACCCAAAAGAACCCAAAGCCAGCAGTTACCAAAGGGCCAACTGGTGAGGATTAACTATGAAACTGCTTTTCAGATAATGTTTTTGTTTTCTAGCTTTTTTTTTTTTTTAAAAAAAGTCGATCAGAAAAATCTGAACTATAATAATCTAAAACCCTGAATCTACCCTAAAAATAACTATCTTAGAATGTTTAACACCACATCTTGAGGTTAGTAGGAAATGATCCAAGCAGTGTAAACAAGCCTCAAATCTCATAATAGAAAAATTCACAAAGATTTCTGTAAACATTAAAAAAAAATATCTACCTGCAAAAACACAGGGATCATTTAGTTGTGTATTTTGAGAAATTCTTAGATTTTTTTTTTTTTTTTACATTTTTCCAGTACTATCCTAAAGATAGCTGGGCTTTCGCTAGCACGTGCCTCTGCCTGAGGTTGGTTAAGTGGTCCATCTGCTTTTGCTGAGGTCACTGTTTTGGCCGGCATTGCACATCCTCATCGATGGACATTGCTTGGTCCTTTCAGGGCTGGTACACTGCTGGCATTATAGCCACATTTTTTATCCTACTTTTTAAAATTAGTGTAATTTACTTTATTTCATCTGCCAAACCTCTGGTTACAAAGGACATGCTGCTTTACCAAAACTTTCAGCTCAAACTTACCAAACTCCTTTGCTCTGCTGCCATGTTTGAAATATTTAAAAGATAATCATTGATATTTATTTAGCCAAATGATGGATTATTTAGACATGATAGCATATTAAAAACTATCAAGTTACAAGTCTGTTCTTGGAACAACATCTGTGGCCTACAAGACCTTGTCGGTAAGTGGTGGGCTAATTTTAGTAATCACTGCTGTGATTTGGACTCCAAGCTAAAATATGACAAGTTACAAGGAAAAGGGGCCTTTGACGTGTCTTTGCCTTTTCTCTTTGGGTGCTGAGTTACACCCCTCGCCCGCCCTTCTTTTAAGTATTTTCCATTATTATATTCCTCTATGTAAGTATGTATACTGATTCAAACAACTACCTTAAGCAAAAGTCAGTATTTAATGCTTTAAAACCCGTTGAATAATTCATTAAATTAAAGCTAGCTTATGGGAGCTGATGGTAATTTCTCTCTAGAGAAGGTCCTCAGGGGCCAGGAACTACTCCTGTTTGATAATTTTAGAGAAAGTCTACATAGTGTCCTGGTGAGGGCAGAGCTGATGACTTTTTCAAATTTTACGTTAAAAATTAAATTTGAGAAAATGATATAAGTATATTTTAAATGGTACCAGAACTGTCTAGATAAATAGCGATAGGAATGTCAATGTTAAGTGATTCAACTGTAACAGGATTGTAGACATTTTCCTCTATGTCCTCATTAGAATGAAACTTTCTTCAGGTTGGTATATTTTTCTTCTCTACCACCTGCCCACCCCCACTAAGTACTCTTTAATAAAAATAAATTAGAATGCTTGTTCTAAAGATATATTAATTTCTTAGAAATGCTCCATTATCCATTTGCTAGGTATTTCCCCCAAACCACTGTTTTGATACCAAGGCATGTCAATTGCTCTCCATACCTCAGAGACACATGTGGCACCAAGTGAGAACCTGAACTTTGCTTTACTTTTGCCTTTGTTCATGATCTAAATCTTTTAAAATTTGAAGTCCTTGAAATAATTTTAAACTATGAATTCGACATTACATTGACTTGTTTCTGTAATCAAGCAAACATTTAATCCCCTGGGATTTGGAACGATCTCTTTGCCTTCAGTTTATTTTACTTAGGGTATAGAGAAACATTTATAGATATATTTTTTCCCCCTCCAAGTTTGGCTCAGTGATAGTGAACACAGTGCAGCATTCAAGTGCTATTAAGCAAATGCAGCCCTACAAGGATACGGACTTCTATAAATTAAATTGCAGAAAAGAACTATCTTAATTAACCTGCAGTATATTTGACCAAAAAACCCTCCTGAAATGTTCTTTACTTTAGGATTCGTAGCCTCCCTCCAGAGGTCCTGCAGATCTTTTAAGTGTCCATGAGACGTCATCATCTTTTCATAGATGCAAGGATGATACGGAACCTTACCTTCCCCAGAAAAAAACATATGGTCCTGTGGCACTATGCCCATTTTGTTGGCACAGAGGCCCATGAACACATCATCTATGTACAGACTGGAATTCAGCGTCTGTGACGCCTCGTAGACTTTGGCAACGACATCGCTGGAGACGACGTAGGCAGCACCTGCCGTGTAGTCGGGGTAAGCTGCCCACTGGTACATTTCATAGGGAACATAGTATTTGCTGCTTTTATCCCTAACGGGAGGGCTACCACGATGAACATGACCAATCCAAAAGTCCCGAACACCCATCTGCTCTAGCTCTTGAAGGTATGCAATGAGGTTTGGCATGTGGATAAATATATCATCATCAGCAGTCATCAGGAACTTGGCATGTGGACAAAAGGTATTTGTCCAGCTGAACTGAAGGAGTAATTTTAAAGTAAGATTGTAGAAAGAATCAATGAAATCTTGCTGAATTATGTCCTTGTACACCTGAGCTTCCCAAATCAGTCTTTTTTGCAGCTCTTCCCCCTTTGGTGGAGCAGGAGTTCCTAAGGCAAACAGAATTTTGATGTTGGCATTAAGTTGGGACTGAATGTAATTCTCGCTGCCCCACGTTTTTCTGATTGCAGAACGTCTATCATAGTTTGCAGGGGCAGTCTTTATAAACAAAAAGAGGAGGACATCTTGAGCCTGACACTTCTCCTTGTGGTTGATCAAGTACGGGAAGTGAGGTTGCTCGGAGCTGTGCTTGAGAGAAAGGGAATCGTTCACAAAGTCATAGCTGTTCACGAGGTATCTGTAGGAGTAGGCCTTCATATGGTTCACAATGTGGTTTTTGATCGGGCCCCAAAAAACCATGAAGCTTAATATAAAACAAGTGGCAAACAGCTGAAAAAATTTCCATCTTTTGACTCTTCTGCCACTAACAAACATTCTCATGTTCTCAGGTCTGTTGTAAATGGCGGCTTGCTTCTCCAAGACTATAGCACTTGGTATTTGTAGAATAGGTGTTGGTCATAAAACACGGGAAAAGGTCTCATCCCATATGATATTCTCTTCTAGCCACATTTCTCTGGGATTGCAAAAGAATGGAGCACTATAGAATGGCGATACTGACATGTCCAAGTTTGTCCACCCTGGCGTCTCTTGTTAAATCCTGTGTACAGCCTCATGCAATTCCTCCATGTGGTTCTTCCTATAAACACGCACTGTGGCCCTACCAAAAGAACAACATGTGAATGTGTCACTGAGTTACCACAGAGAAAAGATTACTCCTTGTCTCTTACGCCAAATGTGACCTGGCTGGTTATCATGAAAACATCGGTGGCATTAGCATTTAATAAGCAATATTAAAAAAAAAGAAGTGGGGAAAATACTTGACACAGTCTTCCTATTCAGAATATTGACAACTTTGTCTCTTCTACCCTTAAAAAAGAAGGAGCCCCCACTCCCCCAATAGCTGTCATCTTGTATATTTACAATTTAAACGCTACAAGTGTGCATATATATAGTCAGGCTCTAAGTAGTTATATAGATAAAGGCAAAGCATTAGCTGAACATTAAATTCATCTGTAAAGTTCCATTAAAACTCCCCCATACCAGGAATAAGAAAGAATAAACTTCCTTTTAAAAATATCAAGGTTCACAGTCAAGGAGTTAAGATTTGCTTTTCAAAAACAATTTCCAAACTCTCAAATTACTTTGTGAGTCTCAAATCTATACAGGCAGCCTCCTTACATGTACTTTATTATCTGGAAACTCAACAGGAACTTCATATTTAACATGTTCTAAATGGGGAAGTTGGAACTACCAAGCCTATCTTTGTGGAACTACCAAGCCAGGGACTGTGAACACTAATGGACTCCTGGCCACTTTCTGTCTGTTGTACTGTATTATGCAGCTTACTATGAACCCCAAGAAACTAGGAAAGTACCAGTAAACTCAGTCTTCATCAGAACAAATCTGAGTATGCATAAATATGTAGGGAAAGAGAGGAAGTCAGATAATTTACCCAATTACACAGGGATCTTCTAATTTGAACATATTATTCAGTCTTCTTCCTTAACAATTATTGTTTCCATCTTTTTTTTTCCTTTCCTTCTTACTTTTTTTTGGTGCCTGAATGTAACTTTATCCATCTATACCAGAACTTAAAAGTCTTCCTTTGTCTTTAGCCCCATCTCCAATTGTTTAATCCCATAAGACACTTAATCTCAGTGTCTTTTCCCCCTTTGGGTCATCATCACTTCTCATCCAGATTAGGGCACAGACTCAAGGATGCCCTTACCAGCCACTAGTCAGAGTGAGCTTTCCAAAACTCTGACATAACCATGACATCAAATGAACTCATCAAAGCCCCCAGACCTGCCCACCAGCCAGTGACAAGACAGAGCCTAGGTTATGAGTTAGCATGACATCTAAGATCCTTTTGAATCTACCTCTTCAGCCATTCTCTCATACTGTTGGACACTGTCAAATTACTGGCTATTTCTTGTACGTTGCCTGCTCTTTGCACCAGCAATACAGTGGACTGGCATGCTCCCACTCTGACAGCATGGTGTGTGCACATTCCAAGTTCTACAGGCATCCTTCGGCTAGAAGTTTGAACTAAAGTTCACCCACTCTGTCAAAGATGTTCCTCCCTTGTTCCTAGGAATGTAATTGCTCCCACCCAGGGGTGGTAGATATGGATCCTGAATGCTGGTTAGGATTAGGAGGGAGAATAGAAGCAGAATGATTTTAAGCCCACAGTATAAGTTCTAGGGCAAAATCCTGCTTTGTGCCTGGAGACCTGTAGTCCTGTTCCTCCATCCTTGACACTGACATAAAAACAACTGCCCACACTGAGAACCCCAGCGAAGGAGCCTAACTCCAGTTGTGACACTGCCTTACATTCCTCTCTGGATTTTCAGATTCTGCTCTATTTCCCAATCCCCACTACTGCTCCTAGTTAGGGTAGTAACTACAAGGGCCAGTCATGAGAAAGTCCAAAAGAGGGGACTAAAGCAAGCCCCACTGAGACCTTGTTCACAGCTAATTAACATGGGTAGTACAACATGGTAAGATACAGATTTTAAAATTGCAAAAACTGCTTAGTAAGCTACAACTGCAGAAGAAAAAAAAGCAGAGTACACAGAAAGCAGTAGGTGTGAGTCTTGTGTTGTATTCATTCAAGGATGTAATGCTAATTGGCTTGATTTTGAAAAGGCTGAATGCCCGACTCCAAAGAACAGATCAGTATGGCGATGCCTTCCTACTCCTCCATGTGCTTATCATGTCTTGATTTAAAGCTCTGAAGAAGGTGAGAAAAACAGCAAGAAACACTCATTTCTGATGCTGGGTTCTGCCAAAAGTTTGCAAAATAACTTTCACTCGGGGCAATGTCTTGTTTGTGATCATTCAGGTAAGGGATGCCTATGAAGGCCAAAAGCAAGGGTGTTTTGCCTTTTTCACAATATAGCATAAAGGACCTGGAGACGTAAATTGAGGTAATAGATAATTCCTGATGACTGAATCCTTTACAGCACTATCTATCAGCGTTTAAGAAGTCTAGGAACACTTTCAGGTGGAACAAATCTATAGTTTCTATTTCAACAGACCTGGGAAGAGAACAAAGGTTGGTAAATGTGATCATTAATACTGACTGTTAGCTCTCCAGGGTCTAGAAGCACCCAGGGGACAAACCTTTAGGCATGTCCAGTGGATGGAGTCCTCCACTGAATAAAAAAGGAGGAAGCAGCCGGGGGTAGTGGTGCACACCTTTAATCCCAGGACTCAGAGGCAGAGGCCAGCCTGATCTACAGAGTGAGTTCCAGGACAGGCTCCAAAGCTACACAGAGAAACACTGTCTCAAAAAACATACACACACAAACAAACAAACAAACAAACAAACAAACAAAAAAGAGGGAGCAAGTAGAAGACCAGCGTGCACTTTTGTCTGTTGCTGACAGTGGATGCACGTGACCCATTCCTCGTTCTTCTGCTGCCGAGACTTGTCTGCCATGATGGACAGCACCCTCAAACTGTGAATCAAAGCTAACCTTTCCTTCCTTAAGTTGATTGGCAGCTGTTCTGTCATAGCAACGAGGAAAGGAATAATACACTAACTTTTGGAATGTAAGGAAGTACAGACATTGGGCTAGAGATTTAAGAACTCTTCCAGCTTACCAGCACCCACACTGCAGATCACCTCTAACTCCAGTTCCAGGGACTCCAATGTCCTCTTCTGGCCTCCAAAGGCACTGCATACGTGTGGTGCACTGACATGAATGTAGGCAAAAACACACACACACACACACACACACACACACACACACACACACACACACACACAATGCAGGCACAACCAACTTCCTACCTTTGAGCTACCTCAGCCAGTTTATCCTGCACATTCTTACCAAGTTCATTTACAAGCCTGAGCTTGGGAGAGTATCAGCTTGGGAGCCCACTCCTCCAAGCATTTGAACGCATTCAAATGCGTGCCCGACTCACCAAAGATACTAGATCCCTAAGGTGAATCAGGACCCTGACTCAGCTTGGTGTTCTGTTGCTGCTGCTAACATAGTAACTGGTCTATAAAAATCATTTTATTCCTCCATGATGTCTATATATTTACCTTATGTTTCTACATTTTTTCCAATACTCTAAGTAGACCTCAATTAGTCAAAAAACAGTTCTGAAAAAATGACAAAGCCAGCAACCTAGACCACTGCGTTTAGTGAATCATGTGAGGTTTGGGAATGAAATTTCTTCCACTCATCAACAGAGTCAAACGTGGATTCACTATTTCTATACACTATAACCAAATCTCACTGAGAGTATTGGTGTGATTAGAGGAAGATTTAGGAAAGGTAAACTATTTGTTTATTTTCTACCTTTTCTCTAAGTCCTCCGAGTAGAGCAGCCATGGGAAGCATCTCCCAGCCCAAAGGAGAGCAGAAGCATTTGCCTCCATCTAGACCCATGAACAGGACTGAGCAATGCTGTCCCAGCTTTTCAAAAACTGGATCTCTCACTTCTCTGTACCTCACAGCACCTTACATCTGCTTTCAAGCACATCACTTAGTTTACATCTGGAGCGCAGGGAAAGTCACTGAAGAGACATAACGGGCATTATTCTAAGTGCTTCATGTGACTGCTAACTCTGTAAGCCTAGGAACAACCCAGGGGAGAGAAAAGATCTCTCCATGTTTGCAGAGGAACAAACCAGGGCACTGAGATACTAGGGTAACCACTCAGCCTTCAGAATTTCCAGACCCATGTTCCAGCTGTTCACTGCCCTTTCTTCCTGCATGGCTCTTCCCACAGTTCCCACAAAGATGACAGAACAGGGAAGCAGGTTGGGCAAGGCCTTGGGAAGCAACAGGGAAGCCGAGAAAGCTGTTACACCATGTGGAATCTGAAGTCACTTGACTTTCTACCATCTACAGGATTTTAAAAACACATTTTCTTTACTAAGAGACCTTTTCTCTTCTTTGCAAGGGCACAGATATCCCCCCCCCACCCCCCGCAACCTTTAACTCGGTCCCAGTGTCAGTAAACAACAGGCCAACTGATGAGATGGGTGAGAGGACCAGGTGGCCAAACCAGGGCCATGACAGGCTCCCCTAGCATGGACCAGGCCTTAGTTTTGGTTCACTAGAACTGGCTGGAGCTGAGTAAGCAGTTCTCAGGAAAACCACAACTTAGGGGCAACCAATCAACAGGCGCCCCCAAGCCTCCTGCCAGCTCAGCAGGTGCCCCAAAGCCCCTTCTGCTAACTTAGCAGATGCTCCCCCCCACAACTTCTGCTAGCTAAAGATAGCTTCTCCTACCCTCTCGTCAACAAGCCCCTAGACACTAGACCGCACCACCACCACCAGTGGGCCCCTAACCACTGCAGCCTCCCACCAATCAGCTCCCAGACTAATCTTTCCTCCACCAATCAGCACCAGATTAATCCCTCCTCCCTGGAATTCCCCTAACTCCGTTTAAAAGGTACTTATGACCTTCTTTAGGGGTCGCTATTTGCCACCCCAACACGCTGAAAAATAAACACTCTTGCTAAGTTGCATACGTGACTGTTGGTCTTTCTTGGGGGCTTCTCTCAGACCCTAACAATGAACCTGTGTCCTACATATGCACAGTCCTTTCTTGGAAGAATACCAGAGAGTCTAGGGATAGCCACCCAATGTGGAGGAGGAGGGTTGAGGAAAGAAGCAGGGAGGAGAGAAGAAGAGGAGGTAGTTCAGAGGATATTTGAAGGAAGAATTTGATCAGGAAATACCTGGTAAATTGAAATTTAAGCAGTCATACCACACAGGGAGTCACACCCTAGCCTCAGAAATTATTCCTTTTTTTTTTTTTAAGCTGTATCAACAATTTCATCCAGAGTATGGGCAAGCATAACTTAAAGATATATTCAAAGTTGGCTCATAAATTGATTGGCAAAAGGAGAGCATAATTCAGAGATGTAAATCAGTTACCTATCATAAAGTTTATAGACAAAATATGACTCAAAGGTACAAGTTCACATGTCAAGTGTTGAATGTTCATCCCTTCAATGTGATATAAAACACAGTAAAAACTGCTATCACTCCCAACGTCACCAGAATGCTTCTTCACACATAATGACTGCTTTGTCTGAACCTCGGATTTCAAAAAATTTGGGATTTTTTCCCCAAACATTCTTGAGATTTCTTTGGATAAAGAAAAAAATATTCACCAAGCTACATCTGAAATGATGAATTCAGTTGGTAAAAGAAGTCATGGGCAATAAATCTGATATCACCAAGATAGCTGATTTGCTAAATCAAGAGTCCTGTAGGAAAGGGCTCCCCTCTCAGTTGGGGTGGAGCTGAGGAGCAGGAAGCAAAGCATTTCATAGCAAGACAAAGTATAGCCATTTCAAAGCACACAGAAGGAAACAGTGTAGCTGAGTGAGCAACAGCAAATCAGCTGCCGGCAGCTAGTCAGAGGGGAAAGGATGTCAAAAGGGGGCTGGAGAGATGGCTCAGAGGTTAAGAGCACCCACTGCTCTTCCAGAGGTCCTGAGTTCAATTCCCAGCAACCACATGGTGGTTCACAACCATCTGTAATGAGATCTGGTGCCCCATAATAAATAAATAAATCTTAAAAAATGAAAAACCAAAACCAAAACCAAAAACAAACCCAAGAGGACAAAAAAAGTTAAAAAAAAAAAAAGGAGCTCAGAGAGGAGAGCTTGGGTTCAATCACAGGAAGATTAGGGATGCAGTGATGCTGAGCATCTCATGCCAGGTATCCATCTGCTTATGGGCATCTAGAAGCACCATTTGATTGAGAGTTTGCCACACAGAGGACAAATTGATAGTGTAAACATAAGAGTATAGATGTGGCTTCACTGAGCAATGATGTTCCGTACTACGTTACCTTTTAGGAAGCACATGCCTTGCTCTGGGTAGCCCTAAGAAGTAAGTAATGTCTACATTGAATGAATGTAACAGATATGAACTAGTCACATACCTGAAAAGGTCAGTCAGGATGCTGGGGGTGACTTCAGAGATATTTCAAAGTTTGATATTCCACAGAAGAATCAGTAAGTATACTGCTGCAACCTGAAATCTGTACCTGATAGATGCAAGAGAGAACAGAAGATTCTAGAATTTTAGAATGAAAGAAAATGCATTTATTTGGTTTCTGTATTTCACTCATCATATGCACTTGACTTGCTTTTGAACCAGGTACCAGTGTATTCCGAGGATCATCTGACATAATTTAAAAGTGTGGGTCACATCAGTTGCTTTACATACATTAATTTTCCTTCTCTAGAAACCATTCATGGGTCTTTAACACACATTGGTAGGTGGCTAATGTTTCCAGGCAGGTATCAACTTTTCAAAAACTGTTATATTCCCAAAAAGTATTAGTCAGATATGAGTTTATAAAAATATTGATTGCTAACAGCCATCGAATAGATCATTACGGGCCAATCATGGTGTCTATTATCCTTGACCAGAAAGAATGCCAAGGACCATCCATGCACTGAAGATGTCTTTCAGTGACGATGATGCAGAGGCCAGATAAAGCTTGTCAGTTAGGGAGACTGAACCTCAGTAGAGTCAGCCTGTTAGCTTATTTTGCCTAGAGTGCTGTCAGTTATAGAAAAGGTTGTGGGAAAGTAGGAAGAGTGATAGTGTATGAAATTTTAGGTAGATCATATGTTATCACAAAATCTTGAACTTTACCTTTTGGAATTGTATTGCCTACACACATGGTAGCAATCTGTTTTTATGGAGTCAACTTGCTTTTTAGTGTTAAATAATTCACTATAGAAGATAAATTTTGGTACAAGACCAATCCAAAGGCAGCCTTTAAATTCACAGTGTTGAATATAAAAAAGTAATTTTATTTATTCAAAGTTCATATCTTATCTGATCAAGCTTCTTTAAATATAAAGATTCTTAAACATGGAGTATATGGGAATATATATAACATGTATAGTTATAACATATAATTAATATATATATATATTAATGTATACTGTGTACTGTGATGTGCACTGTTTACTGTAAGTAATTCTAGATTCACACCATTCTACATCTTTGCTGGCAGAGATTTGATGTTCAGTGGAGGAACTCTTTGGATAATTGGCTTGGATCTGCTCTACTGAGCACATATAAAATCCCTAGCACATCAGTAACTTGTAACTTGTAGCGCCTTGAAACTTTGGGAAAAGACTATCTTCTGGCTTTCTCCCAGTTTCTTTCAATATGTGTTCTGAAATGCAAATCTGAATGCACTTGAGCTGCAGACAGAACTCAACCCTTTACAATTTGTAAGTCAGCAAGTGCAATGATTCTATCCAAAGTGACCCATTTTAAAAGATGACCCATTTAGAAACCCATGAGTTATTATCCAAGCTGTTCTATATCTGAGAATTAGAAACCTATGGACTTTCACTACAAATCTGTTTGGATATATTTTGTTCTTATAAAGAGAGATTTGATTCAGATTTTAATGAAATATGTGAGTACTTTTTCTTTTTTTTATTCAATAGGGCCTAGATTTTATTTTGAAAGTCCTTTTCCATCTTCTAAAATTTCTCTGTAAGCAAAGCAATTATAAGCATCTATGCGCCTTACTCATCTTTCATCTCCCAGTTTCCTAGGAAGGGCCCTGGGGCTCCTGTGAGTTAGAGAACGCACCCGTCATAACACTCGTGAAATACTAAATGTCATAAGTGAACCTTTGGATGACTGATAGGTGCAGAGTCAGCCTCATCTTTGATCAGTGCTTAGTAAGGATAGGTGGGAGTGGAGGGTGAGCAAGGGACAGGGAGGTGAAGGAGGGAGGGGAGGGAGAGAGAGAGAGAGAGAGAGAGAGAGAGAGAGAGAGAGAGAGAGAGAGAGAGAGAGAGAGAGAGAGGTGTTTTAAGTATATGATGGAAGCCCCTCAGGTACTGAATTTATCTTACATTAAAAATACCCCCCCATCTCCCACATGTTTCTTTTGACAAACCCTTCCCCTTGGGCTAGAGATTGAACCCAGAGCCTTACAGTCCTCTTTTGATAAAATTCAGACCTTATCAGCTGCTTGCTAATTACCACCCTGTTCAGGGTGGGGTCATGTCTGCACCACTACCCTCAATCATCCTTTTCTGGGTCAGTTTCAGATTTCTTCTTATATCACTCTCCCCGGCATCCCTACCCCTTGGGACCAGGCTGTTTCCCAAAATACAGGCACAGAGGAACACATCCAGTTCTAACGGATGTACTTTCACCAGAAAGTTACCCTAAATATTAGCTCCAGCACCACCAACCCTCCATGCGGTGGCAGTTGTGTCCCTGTAACATGGCCCGTAGCCTAGGAAACCCAGTACTGCTGCAAAGAATGTGAATCAAAAGTTGTTACTTTTACCTATGGATATCTGAGCAATCAATCCACTAGCACGCAAAATAAAATTTGGTATTTTTAAGAGGAAATAGAAGTAGCCAAGGGCTTCTTATTGGGAAGAACTTCCCGTTTTCCCTACCCGCCTGTTCCGCCCACCCCCCTCGTTTTCCCCCAGGAAGTAACTAGTCCAAAGTGCGGTTAGCTTCCCCAGCCTCCCCATGTGCAAACCGCCCCCAGGCGTTGGGCAGCAACTCACTCTGGCATCTGTAAAGCTCCGGACACAGCCTGAAGCCTTTCGGGGGCTGGCTCGGGCCCCGTGACACCACAGCCGCCTCTCCCCCACTGGCAGACCCGGGAAACCGGCTGCACTGGACCTTGCCGGCCAGATCCGAGTTGCAGCACAAAGGCGGTAGCTGGGCCGGGGTGGTCGCCGCTCGGCGCTCACGCCCACAGGCCGCAGTGAACAAAGGCGCTTGGCCACCGCCTCCCTTCCTCTCCGCACCTCTGGACCCGGCATCCTCGGCCCGCATTGAAGAGCCAGCGGTCCATCTTCCCGATGCTTTTCGCCCTAACACGCCCCAGCCCGTCCTGTGGACTAGGCTGTTCTCTCCTTCCCGCCTTGCGGAGACTAGTCCAGTCCCAATCCAGGAACGCGAAAGGCGCGGCGGGGCGGGTCCCGGTGAGCTGTACTCTGAGCTAGCAGCCCTCCGGGAGGACCTCAGAGCCCGCACAAAGCAAGCCCACCGGGGGACTTAGACTCTGCAGCGGGTGCCAGAAGTGTCCCAGTCTAAAGCAAAGGACGAGGGTACAATCCCCCCAACAGAGGGGCCTTGGCTCACACAGCAGTATATGGCAGGCTGGGAGCGCACCCACTCTGAGTGGGCGATGACTGACCTCCGGATACTTTCATCTAGGAGCGGCGTTGGTTAAGACTCGAGAACCACTCATCCAGGACATTGCATCACGTAGTCATTTACAAGCTATAGGTTTTGAATGGGCAGCAGCTTTCAGATCGTCCTAGTTTCTCAGCAAGAAACCTTATGGGCTGGCAGTCTTTTGTCAGGACACTCAGGACTTGAGCTTCTGGGAGCCTAAATAACAAAGGAAGGAAACGCGAATTTATATCAAGCCATGGCAGCACACCAACAGTCCGTTTTAAAAGCAAACCCTTCCCCTCTACCCAGCTTCCCCGTTGATTTTTACCTTGGAACCCAGGTAATTTCCAAGCGGAGCACATAGCAAAACTCACCAAGTACAAATCCAAGTCCCTAAACATCCCAGTCAGAGGTCGGCTCTCCTCCCAGAGGCTGACAAAAGTCTCAAGAACAAAACTTGAAGACTCAATTTCGGTGTAAGTCAGGTAGCTGGGGCGGGGCTCCGCTGGAGACCCTCCTGGAGCCGGTTGGAGGCGGCTGAGTTGGGCCAGCCAGATCAAGGGTCCTGGCTCAGAGAAGGGCGCCGCTGCCGCAGGAGCCTCCAGCTTGTGACTGTCACTCCACTCCAGGCGTCATTTCCAATGCTCACCCCGCCTGGCAGTCCGGCCCCACTAGCCTGGTTTGTGAAGGTGATGCGCCCCGCCCCAAAGTGCTGTCTGTGGTGGACAGAAGTCTCACTTCATTGAATTAGAGGACCAAATGTACTTCTGTGTTCGTACAGCCTGCAGCCGGACATTCTTCTGATAAGAAGCGCATAGGAGGCTGGAGAAAGGAGCAAACAAACAAACGCTTTATTTGCCTAGCTGCTTGTTTGACAAATGGTGTTCTAGACCTTTCCTTACAGAAGCATTCAACAGAGATCCTATTTTGAGCGGTTTTGTAATTAAACAAACCGCAAAACAGAACAGAATTAATCCAGAATCTTCAAGTCCAAATATGGGTTTGTTATTGTAAAAAGTGACAAGTTCAAAGTAGTTGCTGAATCAGTTTAAAACCATACATTCAACATACTTGTTTCAAACTCTAATTTTAGGACATTTTGTAATTGTGTTTTTAAAAGCCCTTCAGCATATTTCCAATCATGAAATTCATGTATTCATGTATTACTCACACAAGGCATGGTTCACTGTTAGTGTCAGCCTGCCCAGAAGATCACAAACAGAAATATTCATGTAATGAGACTCCCAACAGAGTTTGACAGTGATCTATAAAGGGGATCATTCATTGTTTCTATAAAGTTAATTACCCACTTCTCTCCTCAAATCCTGGCTGTAATTCCTCATACAGTCCTCCCCTGAAACACATGTGTATGCTCTGTTCATATACAAGTACTCAGTTGGGACTCTATACCTTTCCAGTTATTTGGAACTAGTTCCATGTGTCAGCATATATATATGTATATATATTTTATTATTATATTATCATTTAATATATATTAAATATATAATATATTATTCTATATTTTACACACACACACACACACACACACACACACACACACACACACACACTCCAGGGGACAGGTAAAGGAGGTTCTTTCATCCATCTAGAAAGATTTCCTAGAGCAGCTGGCTCCTTATTCATAGTACTCCAGAGAAACACGTGGTTTCACTGGCAGAGATTGCATGAAGCTTTTGAGATAGGTTGGGAATAAAATTAGATAACAGCAATAGGAGGAAAGTGATCAGTGTATTTTCTTGTCCACAGTAGTTGCTTGTGAGCATGGAGCCCTAGAATTTCATATACAAAAGACTTTGAACCATACTGTTAGGAGTGTGCCTTGCAGAGTACCAGGGAACTGTAGAAAATATCTGAAAAACAAAACTAATATTAACTTATTAAATTTAAAAGTAAGAGGGGTTGATCTTTGCATGTTAGAACTAGAAGGGACAGATAAGACGTGTGTGTGTGTGTGTGTGTGTGTGTGTGTGTGTGTGTGTGTGTGTGTGTGTAGAGGGGGAGGAGGATATGAATGGACCAGAGAGTAGAAGGAACCCTAAGCCCTGAGTGTAAGAGAACTTACTACATTCCTCAGCAGAGAAGAGGCCAGTGATGCTGAAACTCTGCCTAACACAGTTAGTTGAATTATGTCATCACGGTGGCAGACGTGGCTTGTTCAGCTTAATCTACCTTCAGGATTGTCAGATATAGCCCTCTACAGACACTGTTATGAATCCAGAAACATCCCAGGCTTGGTGTTCTGAAACCGACCAGCATCCATGGGAGATGAAATCTTGGACTAGCTTCTTTGTGAGATTTCAGGCAAGCTACCCAGCTTCTCTCATCCCCTGAGTCTCACCTGTCTGCTTGGTGAGGAAGGACTCAGTTCAGTGTCAGTGATGAGCAGAACACAGTGACCTGGGCACTATGATGGGTGGGGTGGATGGTTGCCATCCCCATCCTCAGGCTATAGAGAGTTCTTGCCACCTTGAGAAAGGCAGAGATGGCTTCAGGCTGTTTACCAGCACCACTGTCAGGAGAGGATCAGTCGTGTTTCACATTTTTGGGAATTCCAGTAGTTAAAACAGCATCAATAATGCCCACTTTTTGCTGTGTCCTCTTCCACTTCCCACCAGTCCCTCTCACTCATGTGCCTTTCTGGGGTGGTTGTTTCTCCCATCCTTGTTTCTTGATGACCTCTTCCATTGCCATTCACCCCACCCCACCCCCATCTATATTTCCACCCTTGATTCCAATCTTCTGCAATGTAAACTGCAATGTCAAAAAAGGTGTTTTGAGAAGCAGAAAGTGCATGGGACTTTGGTGTTGCAAAGGTGAAAATCTGCTTTCCCCCTCACTACTGCTATCTGTTCATAACAATCTGACATTTTGCCGCTGAAGGATGATCCCGTTTCTTGTCTAGGTTGAGAATCTTCACATCCTGAATATGAAGGTGAAGTGTAGTGTGTAGCCATTCCAGCTTTGACCTGGAAATACCACCCCCTTGTCACGCCTACAAGGCAGAGCTCGAGAGAGGACTCCTGAAGACTGGAGATCCAGATGGGGGAGCTCTCTTGGTTCCTGGACCCTGGATGCTGGAGGTAGACCGATCAGAGTTCTCCAGAGAACACCACCGGACTGCGCTACACCTTTCCCAGACCCTGTTACCTATCCCTTCACTTGTAAGTTACCCCACAAAATAATCCCCCCTTTTAACTACGTGGAGTTGCCTTAATAATTTCACCAATAGTGAAGACTGAGTCCCACAAGCTCCCCGACAATGCCTTGCATAGAGTAAATGTATGCCATATTAATCGCTGGGTGTCTTGAACTGTTGCCAAGTGCCTCCACATAAACCAAATGCTACATTTTCATTGCAAGAAGCTTCTGGCATAGTACAGGGGCCCAGTGAACTCTTTCCTGTAGCTCTCCCTATTACTTCTGTGGTTTGGCAACATTGATAGCCTTCTTCAATGCCAAGACTATGGATGCCAGTGAAATCTTGTTTAGTCAGAACAGGAGCATGAAGGGAACTGCCACAGAGGGCCTCATCTCAGGCCATTCTAAGATCCTTGTCTCTTCTGTACTCTTCTTGGTCTAGTTGGGGCATCCTGGATTGGTTGTCTCCATCAAGTGCTTCCCACAACGCATCTCTCTTATATGGGAAGCCTGAGTAGGGCCCCTTGGGGACAGGAAGACCCTCCCTTCTGAGACCTTTCTTGGTCCAGTAGAAGTGTTCTGTTGATCCGGTGGACCTCAGCCAGGAATGGAGAGGAGTTGACAGTTTCCCTTCAGTACTGAAAACACTCAGACAGTCCCAGTGACAATGACATAGTACCAGTTTTTATGCTGTATCTCTCAGATTTCTTCTTCTTCCTTCTCTGGCGGCAGATCAGACATTTAACACTTCTAGGGCCATGTAGGGCCCTGAGAAGGCTTCCAGGGACTCCCTCTGTTCAACTATGTTCCACTCAGGAGAGCACATTTAACCTGAGTGGACAAGCAACAGTACATGCAGTCTTGAATGCTGTCTGGTTTTTCAAGACAGGGTTTCTCTGTGTAGTTTTTTTTTTAAGATAAAATCTTTATTTACAAATGCTCTGTTTCTCTAAGTGTACACAGAGGGAAAGATTTGGATTGAAATATGTTAAAAGCACAGAAAACAAAAACAAATCCTGGTTAAAAAAATCAAGAGAACCTGGTGATGATGTTCAAAAACCCATAAGCAATAGGACTCAGCCACAAGAGGGTTAGAACACATGCGGAGCAGGTATATCAAACTTCCCTAAGCCCTCTGCCTCTGCTGATTTTGTTTCAGAAGTTAATGAGCAGCTCAGGAATGTCCACATTATAGTCTTACTTCTAATTGTTTCATATAACACTAGCCTTTTATTTACTAATACAAAATCAGATAAGAGATTTCTTCCATCCAGAAAACATGTTAGGCAAGCTCCCTGCTCAAAAGGGCTGGCAGTTGTAGGGGTAGATACAACTTGGGAGGCACTGCTGAAATATGGGCAACGATCCCTTCTGAGCTGGTTAGAGCCATATTTTATTCCTTTTTACATACAGGGAAAGTTCCCTGGATCTGCAGTGAAGAATAAGTTAGGCAGCTTCCTGGTCCATGGGCCAAAACAGTGTGATTCTGTTCCTCTTTCAATGATGGGGCATGTTTTCTCATTATTCACCACAAGTCCAGTAAATGGCACTAGAAATATGACAATAGGGAAGACGTGAGAGCATTGCTAAAAAACCCTAGAA